GAAGGAAGGAAGGAAGGAAGGAAGGAAGGAAGGAAGGAAGGAAGGAAAAGAAAACAAGAAAGAAATCTTGGCTGTTTCATGTTGGAAACACACCCGGCAGCAACAGTCAGTTGTCTGTATGCTTTTAAATCATCTTAGAAAGTATCATTCTCTCCACATAGATCCTACAACAACCTACTTCCAGGCACTACTAATTCCAACCACTCATTAGAAACGGTGGTCGTGTTATTGGAAGGAAACAAGTCAGCCAGGCCATTGATAGAAAATGTGTATGGAGCTTGCCTTTGCATGAACTAGAGTTCAATGGATTATACTAGTGCAAACTTCATTAGCCTGGAGCATTAATCACTAAAACTAGAACTCATGGTAGAAAGTGCTGCCAATTCAAATGAAAACAAGAGTATTTAACTCTCTAATGTAGGTAAATGTTATCGGTACACCTAGAGATAAAGTGATTTTACATTCTTTGGTCTATAAAATAAATCCTGTGCTACACAGAAGGTGTGCTAGTTTTGTGGATGAATCAGCTAGCACACATCTCTGTGCAGAAACAAAATAAATACCTCGCCTCTGTGTGTATACTGACTCTGCACACATCCTAGATTTTGGGAAAACAGTCAGATAGGCATCTGAGATAACATCTTGGGTGTACAAATATTCCCAGCATCATTTTGGGAGGGACCGTATTTGTGTAAACAAGAGAAAATGAGTAGAAAGGAACAGTAAAGCTGGCTGGGGATGGAGAAACACATAATGATCTTACCAGGTCACAATACAGAGCAAAATAAACAGTTCATTAGTTAATTAAAAACAAAGCAACAAAAAACAAGTAATGAAAAAAAACACAACCCTTTTTCTTTATTTTCTGATCTCCCTTGGGCAGCTATTGAAAAAAAACTGTTGTCTTCTGTCCTGGTTTCAGCTGGGACAGGTTTGATTCTCCTCATAGTGCCTGGTATGATGCTTTGTATTGGCTTTAGGAGAACAACAATGTTGAGAACACACCAGTGTTTTCCTTGGTGCTGCGCAGTGCTGTACAGAGCCAAGGATATTTCAGGCTTTCAGCTTCTCGTACTGTCCTGCCAACAGCGGGCCTGGGGGGGCACAAGTTGCTGGGAGAGGACAGAAACAAGGCAGCTGACCTAAACTGACCAAAAAGATTTGCTACATGGTATAAAAATCATATCATGTGAAAGAACTGCAAACCTGGGGTGTTGGCTGGGGTGGCAGCTGCTGCTTGAGAACTGTCAGATTCAAAGATACACTTGGTCCCTGGATTTAAAGCAATGTACAGGCACATCCAGGGGTGCTGGAATTCTTAATTATACATACCTATGGAGGGAAGAAAGAATTCTTGCCAAAGGCATGTGGCATTCAGTAAGTATTTCATCACCAGCCACATACATCTGAACACCTTTTCCAGACAGATTTCCAATAACTGGCTTTCCATACAAGGTTTCAAAAGGACTATTTCCTTCTCTAAGTCTAGGGGTTATTTGAATTTTCAGCAATGGCAAAGAGAGAACTTCTACCTATTTCAAATGTCTTTCTGGACATAATTTTCCAATCTGTCTTCATAACGTTTGATTAATTCTCTCTACTTGATAACTTGACTGAGGTTTCCACGTGCTATGTAAATCCCATTTTATTTGCAAAAAACTAGGAACTCTTTGGGTTATTTCTGCTGCAAAATGAGGTCCTCTGTCTGATGAGAGACATTCTGGAATGCCCAATCTTGGAATTACATCTTTTAGTAAAAAATTGATTACTTTGCTTGTTTTGTTGGCTCAGCACTGGAATGCTTCAGGCCACCCTGGAAAAGTGTCAACCGAAGCCAATAAATTTTTGTACCCATTACATGTCAGTAATTGAGAAAAATCAACTTGCTGATATTCCCCACGTACAGAACCCCTTTTTACCTCTCCTTGGTGGTTGGCAGGTGGGGGGGAGTGGAGGAGGGGAAGGAAGATAGTCTCCTATGAATTTTAGGATTATTTATAAGACAAATCCTGCACCTCTGGGCAATACTTTTGGCAATAAATAACGTGTTAATTTCCACAGTGTATCTTCTTACTGCTTCAACTAGAGCTTCTATCCCTATTAGCTGGCAAGGATCTTAGTTCTTTTTCTTCTTCGAGGCTTACAATTGCACATCCAGAGCTTTCTGCTCCTCCATAACTACAAAGCTGCTTCCATCAGCAAACAGCTCCCGGTCAAGACTCATTATGGGGATACATCTCAGGTCTGGCCAGATGGAATATACTTTTTCAATTTCTTACAAATAATTGTGAGACAGCACTTCTCCCTCATTCACAGGTAAGAGCAATGCAGAATTTAAAACACTATTAGTGAGGTAATTGACGTGTTCCTACTTTGCCATTGCTCTAATCCTTACCGTTGCTCTAATCCTTGCCAGTACATTACCAGACATTGCAGAGGTGGACTTGAATCCTTGGGGAATCACCATTCAGCGTAGATGAGTCTTTTGTCCCACTGTTGAACTTCCTCATTCAGAAACAATTTCTGGCATCTTTCAAATCTAAAACTGTGAACATTAAAATTAGCTGTAGTTGTCAACAACGTGTAGGGGTTTGTTGCTACAGGAGGTGCTTGACTATTTGATTACTAGCTCTCAAATCTTGCACTAATGGATAACTGGTGAGAACATAGCTTTCTAACAGGTAGAATTGGAGTATAATATTCAGACTAGCATTCTTGTAATAGTCCATACCTTAGAAAATTCTCAATTACAGGTTCTAGCCCAATATGGGCCTCCAGCTTCACAGTAAACTGTCTTTGTTTTACTTGTTTAACTCCTGATTTCAATTCTTCTACCAGTTTGGCAGACTTTCCCAGGATTTTCTGGCCCCCACACAGAAGGAACTATTGCATCCACAATTTCAAATGGAATTTCAGTCACTTATATATCTTTGCTCTCTAAAGAATGTAATCGACTTGTGCCTGCAAGGTGCATACCCATACCTTTTTCTTATCAGAAGTTATTAGAGTTCCTAATTTCTTCAACAAATCCTGTCCCATGAGAGGTAAAGGGAATTCTGGCACATACAAAAACTCGTGTGTTAAGATCTTATTTCCCATTTCAGATGTAATTTTTTGCAAAAAAATGTTTAACTTCCCGCTTTCTCATGGCCCCAGCTACTGGTATTGAACACTTACTTAAGGATCCTTTGAAACAACTTAACAACAGAATAAGCAACTTCAGTATCTACTAAAAGAATTAGTAATTTTATTTCTCAAGATCCTTCTCTAAATGTTCCTCTTTATCTTTTGTTTATGGCTTGCACAATATCTGCTGTCAGAAGCTTGACTTCATTTTTTTGCTCTTCTGTGTATCTTTTTATTTCTTTTTCTTTTCTGGTTTTTCCTTATTGTCATATACACTGTAGGCAATTTCAACCAATTGTGGAATAGACATCCCTGAAACCCCATCAATTTTCTGCATCTTCTTTCAGCTACTGGGGGCTGACTTTCCAGTGAACAATGTATTAAAACACACTTTTATTCTCTTCCCCTTCTGGGCCCAAATCAGTCCACTTTCTAGCTGTCTCATATAACCTTTTCTGTTTCAGGCATAACGCATTCTAGACCTTCCCTAGCATTTGTCTTCCAGTTTTCCTCATTAGTTTTCTCTAAAATCAATAATTTTACCTCAGAGAGTAACAATGTGTTTAGCAAAACCTGTGTATCTTTCCAAACAGGATTATGATTTAAAATAACCACTTGAGGGATTCCATTAACCCTCTCCGGATTTTTTTCCTTTATGATCCAGTAGACTCCTTCCAGTTCATCAAATCAGAGGTAGAAAAGGGAACCTGCACCTATACAAGCAATCCCCACAGCTTATCTCAGTAGAGCCTGATAGCTGATTGTTATGGTCTCTCCATCCTGAAATGAGGATGGTTTGTCTTTCTTATTCTCAGATAATATTATCCAAGCCTCCAAACTTGTTTCCATCAACTTTCATTTCTGTCTATCATACTCGTTTTGAAACAAAAAGAACACATCAATGTATGGAATTTCAGCCTGCTTATTTACACAGTGACATAGTAATATTGATTAAATATTGGTTGTGTCCCCTCTTTTAAATGAGGAGAGAGGGAGAACTAGCTACAACAGGCATGGAAATGTCTGAGGAACTCAACAAGTTATTGGCCTCAGCCTTCACTGGCCATCAGGCTTCCCACACCTCTCACATCCCTGAACCTTTATGTCAGGGGGAGCAAAATCCCCCTCACTGAGAGCAGAGCAGGTCAGAGACCCACCCACCTCACAAGGCTGAATGTATACAAGTCTATGGAGCCAGATGACCCTCATCCCAAGGTCTTAAAGAAATGGCTGATGTGGTTGCTAATATGCTCTCCATCATTTATGAAAACTCCAGGCTGTCAGGCTGAGTCCACAGTGACTGGAAGAAAGAAAACATCACTCCCATTTTCAAGAAAGGGAGAAAGGAAGATCCAGAAAACCACAGCCTAGTGAGCCTCATGTCTGTGCCTGGAAGATCATGGAGCAGAACCTCCTAGAACACATCTTAAGGCACATGAAGGATGAGCCAGCACAGCTTAATCAAGGGAAAATCACGACTAACCTATGTGGTGGCCTTCTGTGATGGAGTGACAGCACCAGTGGACCAAGAAAAGGCAACTAACATGGTCTACCTTCTGCAAGGCCTTTGACATGGTCACACACCACATCCTTGTCTCTAAATTGGAGGTTTGGATTTGAAGGCTGAACTGTTCAGTGGATAAATAGTTGCTCGGATGGTTTCAGATAGAGTGTTGTGGTCTACAGATCAGGTGGAGGCTGGTGACAAGCTGTGTCCCCATGGGGTTTGTGTGCTGGGGCTGGTGCTCTTCAACATTATCAGTGGGATTGAGTGCACCCTCGGCAAGTTTGCTGATGACACCAAGCTGAGTGCTGCAACTGATAAAACAGAAGGAATGCCATCCAGAAGGACCTGGACTGGCTTGAAAAGTGGGCCCACATGAATCGAATGAGGTTCAACAAGGCCAGGGTCGGGGCAATCCCAAGGAAGACCTAATTGTGGCCTCCCAGTACTTGAGGGGCGCTTATAAACAGAATGGAGACCAAATTTTTACATGGGCAGATAAGGATAGGACTAGTGGGAATGGCTTTCAATTAAAAGAGGGGAGATTTAAGATAGATGTTAGGAAGAAATTCTTTACTGAGGGTGTTGAAGTACTGGAACTGGTTCCCAGAGAACCTGTGGATGACCCACTGGGCAGGCATTCAGGGCCAGGTTTCACAGGGCCCTACGCAACTTGATCTAACCTTTGATTTAGTGGTTGGCAACCCTGCCCACTGCAGTGGGAACTGGATGATTTTTAAGGTCCCTTTCAACCTAAGCCATTCTGCTATTCTACAATTGCCACTGAAGCTGAAGTTTTCTTGGGATTTTCTCCCGCATTACGCAAAACTGGAAGCATATCTGTTCATTTCATGTGTCATAAAAATAAATAAAAATAATTCTCAGTTTGTCCTAAGACATGTTAACATTAAAAAAAGTGATCAACTATGATGTCAGTTCTACTATTTCCTCATTTAATTGCCTCAGAACTATGTTGAGATTTCTTAATGGCACAGGCAAGGCTGAATGCAGTACTTATAAGAATAAAGCAGTACGTCTAAATTACTTCTGCAGCAGCAAGTGAAGATGGCCTAGGATGAAGCATAAAAGAAGTAAGATCTAAAAGAATTGACTTCGTTTTCTTGCTGCTTTTTCAGAGAGAACTAAAAAAGGAGTGGGCTAACAACCAGCTTCTTTTCCACCCCTCGCTAACCATAGTATGTTTCTATGATCCTGACTATGATTCCAATTTCAGGAGTCCAGGAATCTCTTTGCTAGTAACAATAAGCTAAAGTTTAACCACAGTCTTGCTGCCAACTCTTGTCAGCACTTAGGTTTGCAGAATCCTAGAACAGCCCCTGAATGATTCACTTCATACTTCTCATATTTTTTTATACATCACTAGGATTGTGTACCTTGTGGAATGCTTTCATTAGTTGCAGTTGTTGATGTGGCTTTCAAAGCTTCTTAGAGTTTTTTTTTTTTTTTTTTTTAAAGAAGAACGTGCTCCAGGAAGAATAGCAGGCTCATCCAAAGATGAGAAATTAAAATAAGGTGAGTAATTTTCATTAGCTCCATTCCTGTTGCTGGGAAAAAATATTACTCAAGGGAGTACAATGCAATTTTCTCTGAGTAATCTGCTGGTGAACAGTATGATTGCTTCTTGCCTGTTTAACATGAGTGACTAGCTTAAATGTGTCAAAAGCACTGACCCATTAGTTTCCTCCATTGTAAAAATGGAAGTAGATGTAGTGAGTGAATACTTGAAGATGTCTCTTCCAAATGCACCTCCTTGTTGTTGACAACAAGCTGAAGCATCCAGGCACTGGAATAAGAAAACATTGCTCATCTTCCAAGTCATCACAAAACGACCTCTGATCTGAAACAAGTGTAACTGACAAGGCCAGCTCCACAACAGACGACGGCTCAGAGGAAAAGAGCAAGAAATTAATTTTCCCAGGGAAGAATGGAAAGAATGACCACCAATTCTTGTAAAGTAAGCTGAAATGAACACAGTGGGGGCTGGAATGTAACCTTTGTTTAGGTACTTGGCTGAACAAGTAAGACACTAGGTTTAATAAATAGCCTTCCTTGAAATAATTAATGAAGACCTGTATCTTCCTGAACCAAGCAGGCAAGCATGCATATCTGGCTCAGACTAAAATGGACATAAAAACCAAGCAACCAACAAAATGAAAAGAGCAGTGGGTTTGAACTGGCTTTAACTTATACATTCCTTTCTGGCAGTTAGGGATGACCAGCACCATGAGAGGGAAGTACTGATATGGGCTGGTTTGTTTAGCAATAGGCACTGGTGTCAGTATATTAGTTTAAGGACCAATATATATTAGTTTAGCAGAGGGAATCGGTGACTGCTAAAATTAAAACTTTCAATTTCAACTTTGCTTGGTATGTGAACAGCCTTGTTTTCTCCTAATTCTTCTTCACGAGAGTCATAACAGACTACTTTGTCCTTTGCATCCAACAGGTGCAAGGACATCTTCTAATTTCAAACATATTGCTTTGGAAGTTGCTCATTCTGGTCTAATAAGCAATGGAAATTTGCCAAATTGGGAAAAAACAGCTGATGGTCATCCAAAAGTCTCACTGATTAAGCTTATGGTGTGCATTCAACAGTACAACTGTTTGAATGTAGAATCTGAACTCTGAGAGGGCATGCTTGTTTGTCAGATTTCCTGGTGTGTATCATGAGGAAAAAATGAATGCTGCTTTCTAACACACTGCATAGGAGTTAGAGAGTTTTCTTCCCAGATTTTGGATGACAAAACATGCAGGTAGTGGGAATCAGTTGTGTATAATGGTTACTGTTTTGGCTGCGTTGGAATTTCAGCATATTGCTGTAACATTTGTCTAAATCAAAATTCAGTGTAACGTCAACTATATCAAACAAGTAAATCTGATATTAAACATCAAACCCTTTCATATCTAAAAGAATTTGTCCAGAGTGTAATGGAGTCTGACAATGATCCCTCCTTTCATTCTAGCACCATTTTCTGTGCTTTCTAATTAGTTACTGTCATGGGTTTTCCTTTACAGTTGAGCAGCCTCATTCTCCTAGCCTGCTCTTCCTGTGCATTATGCCCTGTTTTCTATTAACTCCAGTGCAGTGCCTCAACAGATTTCCCCTCAGCCACTACTTGCAGTCATGTCTTGTGAAGAAAAAAATAAGAAAAATAGCCAACTTGTTACAAGAACAAGTATTTGGACAAATTAAAATAACCTGAACTCAAAAATAGATGAAAAACCTGTGTTAAATTTGCCTACAATAAATGAGCCTAAAATAAAATGAGCTAATGAGATGGTAATTAGGATGGTTTTTACACCTTCAGTTGACCAGAGATACACACTATTCTGATTTTTTCTTACAATTTTTACATCTTTTTCTTTTATTATTCAACTTTCAATAGTATAGTCACTCCTCTGATAAAAAAAATAAACAGAATTTTAAAAAGAAGCTTTTGTGACTGTTTATTAGAGGCAGTTTCCTCTGGGGAAGAAGAGATTTGTAAATCCTTTAAAGGACATTTCTGTGCCACTTACTGCCCAAGATATCTAGTTAAATTGAGAGGGAAACCAGGGTAGCAGGATAAACTAGAGCAGGTTACTTAAGACTATGTCAAGTCTGATTCTGAATATCTCCATGGATGGAGAGCCCACTGCCTCTGGCTAATCTGCTTCAGCACTTGACTGCCACCACAGTAAAAACATTTCCTTTGCTTGGAGTTACCCTTCTGTGTCTTAGTTTGTGCCCATTGCCTCCCATCCTGTCAATGAGGAGAAGTGAGAAGAATCTGACTCCTTAATTCCCTTCATGAGTTTTTTATATACATTGCTAAGACCATTGTCACCCCAAGATTTCTCCAGCTTAAGCAGTTCTGGCTGCCTCAGCCTCCTTTTATCTGAAAGATGCTCCATTTCCTTCATCTTCTTTGTGGACTGGAATGACATTTGTAAGTTCATTTTTCTCCTGTGCTTGAGAGTCCAAACTGGACACAGTAGATGTGGCCTTACCAGTGCCAAGAAGAGGGAATCTTTACAGTTCTTGAAGGAAGGGAGGAAGGGAGGAAGGGAGGAAGGGAGGAAGGGAGGAAGGGAGGAAGGGAGGAAGGAAGGAAGGAAGGAAGGAAGGAAGGAAGGAAGGAAGGAAGGATTAAATTATTATTGCAGAAGTCCAAGAAAAAGCTCACACAGGAAAGCTGTCCAACCTTTAATTTGTATTTTTTCTCTCAGTCTTCACACAATTGTTTCCTCCCAGCATATCTAACCTTACTTCCTACCATTTTATTTACAATTTTACTACACTGTTATGAGAAACTTCATCTGCAAGCTGCAGAGTGACCACCGCTTTTTGTGAAGTTCGTGTACCTGCTGCTTTGCTCTTCCTGTGCTGAAGATCACGAGGGCTGAAGATCACAATATTGCTGGAGCCCCAGGATTTCAGAGATTACCAGTTGGTTGCAGAGGCATGGAGAACTAGTGCAAATAGCTACTAGGAACAAGTTGGTTACTTTGCACTGGCTGGTCTGTCATTCCCCTCCCACCTGTAAAAATTAACCCAACAAAAAGAACACTCTGCCAAAAAGCTGCCAAAAACAACACTCCTCATTTGTCCCCACCCTTTCTCCCCATCACCCCCCCTTACCGCCGCTCCCCTTACCCCCAAAGAAAAAAAAAACAACTTGCACCACATCTGGGCTATTGCTTAGGGGAAAAAAAAATGTAATCTGTCTGTGATAAGCTTAAACAAGAGGATATCTCCTGTCCTGGACCAAAAAAAAAAGAAAAAAAATGTTTTTACAGAGTGAAGAGATACTACATGTGTAATGTTGAATGTAGTTGCCACAACAGGTTTTTGTTTTGTTACCATAACAGCAATTGCCAATACTTTCTCACTGACACAACAAAAATACAATGAGAAGGTCGTTTTCTGCAGAAGTCCAGGAAGTCTTGTTGACTATCCAAACATGATAATTTCCTATGGTAGCGGTGAAAAAACTCATTCAGGAAGAGACAAAACTCAGAGAGGCAACAGTTCTAGGATATATCAGCTTCCAAGACCCGTTAAAAATGAAGAATCCTTCTCTCACTGTTTATATTTTTTAAAATCAAATCCTTCTGTCAGATAGGCTATTGAAAGCCTTTGCAAAATAGGTGTCAAATGCCAATTTTGTCTGCATTTTCTTCCTTTGAAGCAACTTTCCCTTGAAAAGCAGCATAAAAAGAAATCAGGGTTCACAGCATTAAGTATGACTCTTCAAGTCATTCTGGATTGCAGCTGTGACCTCTGAAAGAACAACCTGATCTGACCACTGATTCAAAAATTCCCAAAAAAGTGCAACACAGTACTGGAATTACACATCTCTGGCTTCCTAGATCACTCTTGCACTGTAAATGCAACACTGCTTGTACTACTAATACCTACCAGCATTCACATCCATCTCAATTTGTAGATTTTTATGACATTTTCAATTGCAAAAAGTAGACATTTATATACAATATTTTTCAGAAGCAGACTTCAGAAGAATACAATACTTTTCAGCTTCTTCCCCCCAGACTCACATAAAAGCATTGATTGCATGATACTGCGTCCATGACTCAACATGAAAACTAATCAAGTTGTTGTGGAACATAATACAATTAAAGCCCAAGTCCTCCAGAAATAATATGGGAGATGCACACAATCGAAAAAACAGGACTGTAGATCTTTGGCAAGACTGCTAAAATACGCAGCTGTAGAGACATAGTATTCACCAATATCCTGTGGTGTTTATTTTGCTTATTTGTTTCTCCTGGTGTATTTTAAACTTCTCATTCTTTTTCCAAAAGAAAGAGAAGGGACATAGTTAATAAACTATTTTCTCACACACACTGTAAAGAGACTTAGGCAGCTGTGCTGACTACTCAACCTCTGTTTCAACAAGAATTGTTGTGCTGTCATAAGAACATTTCATTGACACCCTATCATTTCCTAGCAACAATCAATGTTTTGTACATAAAAAGTGGGCAAGATACTGCCTATCAATGCTTTGTTTGTTGTTACTGCTGTTAAATTTTTCTCCCTCTCCCTTTTGAATGGGAAGATTCTTATCTGGGACGTAATGAGGAACTTCAGACATTGCTATGTCTTGTACTTTATTACCAGAGACAAGAAATCAGATTAGGTTACTGAAAGATACCCTTTCTAGAAATAAAGTTAGTGCTAGTTCATAAAGTCCAACACAGATTGACAATTTCTGAATCTTGCAACTGTTTGTCCCATGAGCAAACAGAGATCTGGCCATCTTGTTTTTCAATGGACTACTCAGTTCTGCTCTGTGAAAATAATATCCAGTTTTACCATTCAAATTCCTCGTCAGCCAAACCGCCAAGAATAAAGAATGATTCATTGTTGTCTATCCGCAGTAATAAATCCCTAGCAATGGTGACAGCATACCTGGATTGCTGTGCGTTACTTCTGCAATGTAGCACTGAATGCAGTGCACAGAGGGGCAGCAGAGGACATCCTGTAAATCGCTTTTATGCAGGTGTCACGATGCCTTGATACATGAAAGGACCAGCATGTGCAGCTATTGAAATGCACGCTTTCTAATTCTGTTCATTTGTTTCAAACAAACGGAGGAGGAAATTCACTCCAACCTGGCTTCCTTCAGACTCTTAGTTAGCAGCAAGCCCCCCTCTTGGGTGCAATCCAGTGATGGACAGCAGCTGCTCACAACTCATCTCTTTCCAGCACTGCTAGCTGGGCTGCAGAGCATGTATTGAAGTTGTGCACAGTGAAGAATAATTTTAAAAAGTAATTAATTAATTAAGTTAATTACAAGTTTTCAAATTCTTAATGTTTTACAGAAGTATAAGCTTTTTTTTTTTTTTTCCTTAAAACTTTTCAATGTCTTTAATATGATCTTATACTTCTTAGACAAGAGGAAATGAGACATGGTTTAGGTTTCCTCCCCAGCTTCAAATAAATAGTGACAGGACTGGCAGAATTGCTTCCTAAAGCTTTTCTTGAACTAGAATAGAATTAACTAGGAAATGCAGCATACTACTGGCACAGAAATAGAAGAGAGGGTTTATTTTTGATCTTGGGAATCAGTAAAAAAAAGCATTATTACAAAAAAAGCTGAACAGAAACTAGTCACTCTATCTTAATACATGGAGCATCTTTTCCTTCTAAGAAAAAAATATGTTTAGTTTATTAAAAAAATAAACAAGAGAGGATATGATGCAATCACAGAGTCCAATCTTTCTAGAAAGTGTAGGGGAAAGATTTCTCAAAGCCATGTAAAAGATTTCTTGAGGCATTCAGCACTGTCAGTACACCCAGAAAGCAGAATTCAAGTCAACATTTGCCATTTCGGGAAGACAAAGTAGCATACAAGAAAAGAATTTGCTTCTGGGGAGGGCTTTGTGTTAAGAGCGCTGTGTCCCATTCCTCCCTCCTCTCAAGAAAGAAGTTAGTAGGCTCATGAAAAGGGCTGTCCATCAGCTGTAGGATCTGCAGCTCGACATTACTGCACAGAACTGACACTGCCCAAGGGTGAGATACGCTGAACAAACAGGCAAACCTTCCTAGGCACAAAGTGCTTCCTGGAGCAGTAGTAACACGACGACTTCACAGCCATTTGCACAGATAAACCACAGAAGCTTAAAGGCTCATTTACAGAATTTCACTGTTTGAACAAGTTCTGCTTGCAACCCAAGATGAATATAATAAGATACTGTATGCTATTTCATTTTTCTATAGTTTACAAAAACAGTGCAAGCAAAACAAACACACCAGCACATTATTCTAGATGAGAACTTAAAAGAGTGGATTTTATTCAAGGACAAAGGTGAGCAATGCAACAGTAACAAGAGTTTCACTAAAAATTTCCTCACCAGCTGTAATTACTAACATATATTACAGGAATCAATTTATATTTACATATAGAGTATGAGAAATTAAGCCTGCTGGATTAGGGTCAAAAAAAGCATTAGCTTTAAAGATATTTTTCAGTTATTATTCTCTTAGAGATTATTGACCAAAGCAAGACTGTGTGTCCATGTAAAGACTTTCCAACAGTGAACACTGTTACAGTGCAACAGATCATACTTGTTACTTCCAGGAACACACACTGGCCATTATGTGTGCACCAGTAGCAGACAGCCTGAACACACTGCCACACTGCCAAACACACACACATACTTCTAACAGCTCCCAAAACAGAAAAGTCAAACTGTTTTCTCTAAAACTGTGGCAAATTGGGGGAAAACATGCGTGCAGCAGAGGTAGTGATTCATGTCATTCATACATAAAAGCAGCTACAAGAAACCAGTCATCATCACCATCATCATCATTAAAAAACAAACAAACAAAAAAAAAAAAAAACAAAAAAAACCAAAACTCTTATTTTTACAACTTATTCCATCTTCACCAGTTAGCACTCAACAAACTTGTGATCCAGAAAAGGTATTAGAATACCAAAAAAGAAAAAGAAAATAAGAAGAGTCTGTGCAAGGATTGAAACATAGGAATGATAGTCAAGTACTGCTGAGTTATGATCCCACCTAGTGGATGAGGGAAGGTCTGTGGGGTGTGTGGTTGTAGCCTACCTAGACTTTAGTAAAGCCTTTGACTCTGTTTCCCACAGTATTCTCCTGGAGAAGCTTGCACAAGTGTACTCTTTGCTAAGTAAAAACCTGGCTGCTGGGCCCAGAGCGTGGTGGCGAATAGAGCTGAATCCAGCCAGCAACACTAGTGGTGTTACCCATGAGTCAGAATGGGGGTCAGCTCTGCTTAATATCTTTACAGATTACCTGAACTGAGGGGATTGAGTCCATCCGCAGTACGTTTGCAGATGACATCAAGTTGGGAGGAAGCTGGGAATCTGCGTGAGGGTGGGAAGGCCCTACAGAGGGATGTGGATAGGCTGCATCAGTGGGCTGAGGCCAACTGCATGAGCTTGACAAGATCAAGTGCTGAGTCCTACTCTTTAGTCACAACAACCTCATGCACCCGTGCATCACTGCCAGCTTGGAGCAGAGTGGCTGGAAAGCTGTGCAAAGGACCTGGGGGTGCTAGCTGACAGCTGGATGAACTTCAGCCAGCCATGTGCCCAGGTGAGCAAGGGGGGCAATGGCATCCTGGCTTGCAGCAGTGTAATCAGCAGCACCAGGGAGGTGATCATCTCCCCGTACTTGGCACTGTGAGTCCACACCTCAAGTGCTGTGCTCAGCTCTGGGCCCCTCACTACAAGAAAGACATTGAGGCCTTGGAGTGTATGCAAAGAAAGACAATGAAGCTGGTAATGGGTCTGGGACACAAGTCTTACGAGGAGCAGCTGAGGGAACAGTTTAGCCTGTTTAGTCTGGAGAACAAGAGGCTCAGGTGAGATGGTATCGCTCTCTACAACTGCCTGGAAAGAGCTTGTAGTGACTGGGGGTAAGCCTCTTTTCCCAGGTAACCGATGATAACGCCAGGGGAGGTTCAGGTTGGATACTAAGAGAAATTTTTTCTTAGAAAGATTGGTGAGGTATTGTAACAGGCTGCCCAGGGAAGTGGTAGAGTCACTAACCCTGGAGGTTTTCAAGAAAAGAGCAGATAGGGCA